CCACGCCCAATGCAGCTGCCGGGAAGTGGGGGGACTACCGGAAGTGCGACACCCCCAAGAGGACGGTGGACCACATGCTGTCGCACATAGCGGAGACCCACAAGGACATCGACTACATCCTGTGGACGGGCGATCTGCCGCCGCACGACGTGTGGAACCAGACCAAGGAGGAGAACCTGGCTATCATCAAGGACACTGTGAAGCAGATGGTCGAAATGTTCCCGGGAGTGCCGATCTTCCCCGCTCTGGGCAACCACGAGAGCGCTCCGGTGAACAGCTTTCCGCCGCCCTACGTTAACCAGGTGGACATATCCATTAGCTGGCTCTACGACGAGCTGGACATCCAGTGGCGCCGCTGGCTGCCCCAAAGTGTGACCCACACGGTGCGACGCGGTGCCTTCTACTCGGTGCTGGTTCGACCTGGATTCAGGATCATCTCGCTGAACATGAACTACTGCAACAACAAGAACTGGTGGCTACTACTGAACTCCACGGATCCCGCCACCGAGCTGCAATGGTAAGGCGAGCTGATGGGGATAAGAACTATATCTCAATTGCTCTACTCTTCCAGGTTCATTTACGAGCTGCAAAGTGCCGAGTTCTCCAACGAAAAGGTGCACGTCATAGGCCACATTCCACCCGGACATTCGGACTGCCTGAAGGTCTGGTCTCGCAACTTCTACAAGATCATATCGCGCTATGAGAGCACAGTGACTGCTCAGTTTTACGGACACACGCACTACGATGAGTTCGAAATGTTCTACGATCCCCACGATCTGAGTAAGACCTCATCCCTTGGAGCTACATCACAGCACCCTTATGCGTTTCCCCTTTTCAGACCATCCGAACGGCATTGCGTACATAGGACCCTCTGTGTCGCCCTATTACGACCTGAACCCTGGCTATCGGATCTACTACGTGGATGGGGACCACGATGCCACGACGCGCCTGGTCATCGACCACGAGTCCTGGATAATGAATCTCAAGGAGGCCAATCTGTACGGCTACCCCATTTGGTACAAGCTCTACACAGCCCGAGCGGCGTACAATATGAAGGCTCTGCGTCCCAGTGATTGGAACAACCTGCTCAACGAGCTGACCAACAACCAGGAGCTCTTCGAGCTGTACTACAAGTAGGTCTTCATGCTCCGAAAGTAACGACTCTACACAGTTCGCCTTTTGCTTCCAGATATTACTGGAAGAACTCCCCGGCGCGACCCACCTGCGATGCCGAGTGCAAGAAGCGGCTCATCTGCGACTGCCGAAGTGGGCGATCCCATGATCGGAAGCACTTCTGTGCCGAGGTCGAGTCGAAGATCGACGAGGAGTCCTCCAAGTCCTGGAAGTCCTGGTTCTACAAGGGACTGACCAATTCGTAAGCGCTGTTTATTTCAACTACGTGTTTCTGTGGTTTTGGTGGCTCACACGAGCCAATGCGTTCGATTTGTAATTGTAACCAATCACTTACCCTAAGCCATTCGATATGAGTAGTTATTGTTCGCCATTCCGCATATTCAAAACATACTACTACTGCATAATAACACATATTTTATTTTTCGCACTGGTGTGGCCATGCAACAACTAAATACCTAAAAACTAATGATCGAACAGCGCCGAGGACCGGACTGAAGTGGCGGCCACCACCACGGATGGCTATGGCCCTCTCGATGTGGTGATTGTAAACGTTGGTGGTTGATTAACTTGGAATAAGGACCCTGTACATATCACTGGTGGCCAGAATTTGTAGTGCCCGTGACAATAAATGACCCATACATTTACCCCCACTCTTTCTTCTGCCCAAAAGCTATAGCCTTCTGTCCTCCATCACATACCTGCCCAAATACCTGCTCGGATATCGCTGATACCCAACTGAGTCGCTCGTTCGAGGTCCTCCAACTGCAAGTCAATGCAATCGCAACGAAGGAAAACTCCTACCCCATAAGTTTACTATGTGATAACTAGTGCTTAAAACCAACCATTTGTCTTAGTGTACGTTACGCAATGATGTCCCAAAACTGCCTGCTTTGAAACCTTACAAGCGCCCCTCGGAAACTGAGTCAGTGAAGAATAGTCATTTAACTGTAGTCGAGTCGATGCTGTTGCCCACTCCGCAGCATTTGTGGGCGTGGTAGTTGCGCCCTTCCACGCAATGGAAATTGTTGAACAAATTACCTTTTAGACACCTAATTGTAATGCTAATCTAGGTCTTAGCTCGAATAAAGTGCAATTATTTTTATACAATAATAAATGTTTGTTTTTTGGGTTTTGTTTTCCAAAACAAAGCAGCATTTTCTTTCAAGCATTAAAGTCAAATTCAAACTTGAATTCAAATTTACCGGCGCGGTAAGGTGCTTTCTTGCGTCCTAGAACACTGTTTTTTAACAGCGGCTTTACAGCAAATGGCTTTATTTTCCAAATAAACACAGCATTCTCTTTCAAGCATTAAATTCAAATTCAAACCTGAATTCAAATGTACCGGCGCGGTAAGGTGCTTTCTTGCGTCCCACAACACTGTTTTTAACAGCGGCTTTACAGCAAATGGCTTTATTTTCCAAATAAACACAGCATTCTCTTTCAAGCTATAAATTCAAATTCAAACTTGAATTCAAATTTACCAGCGCGGTAAGGTGCTTTCTTGCGTCCCACAACACTGTTTTTAACAGCGGCTTTACAGCAGACGCTGTGTTACGTCACGTGGTACTCATCGATAAAATGCGGTGCTTATCTGTAATCGACGTAACGTATCGAACGTATCGTAGGGCGGGAGAATTCAAAAGCGAAACAGTGATAACGGGCCTAAATTAAAAAGCAGTGTGAATGGATGATTGTAAATTCTGTTAATCAAAAATGAAAATCCAAGCAGAGGAAAATACTTCAGTAAATATTTCAAAAGCAAATTCGTTATAAAATAAACAGTAACCTTTTCTGTTAGAAATGAAAATTTTACGGGTAAGCTAAACTATTATTAAGTGTAGTCCCTGCAAATGAAATAACATCAAGTAAGGCATATCAAACTCACATTGTTTGAGTTGCGAACCGAAAGCTTATCGCGTGGTGCAGAATTTTCCGAAGTGGCACGGTTACCTATTCGCAATGCACTCCCCCTGGAAATATCGAATCTCTGCCCTGCAGGATAAACCGACTCTAGTCCTTTGAGCAAACCCGGGCACCAATAGCGACGAAGGGGAATTTGCGGGCACGGCGTGTCCTAGTCGTTGTCAATACGCCCCGTTGGCCGTTGCCTTGAGCTTGTTGAGCTTGTTGGGCTGCCGTGCGTGTTTTCCTTCATTGGTGATAAGACACGCAGCGCGATGTGTGTGCGCGCGGGGAGAGTATCCTGGCTGCCACTCATTATCCCTTTGTCACACACACACCCGCACGTTTTCCCACACTCACGCACACCCACACCCACACACACCCACAGCACGAACACCCAAGCGGGCAGCATCGAGCAAAACAATTCCGTTTACATTTCCCACATCTCCGGCGAAGCATGCAGCCCCACACTCCGCACCCCATACAGCACTACACCCACGAGTGGCGTGTGCCGCCTTCCTTTTTTCCTGATTTGCCTCCTGCTTTGTTGCTTTGCATACTTTTGGGGGCGCCCCGCCGCTGGGAACCGCACATGTGTGTGTGCCGCAAACAAACAAACAAAAAGACAAACAAACAGCGACCCAAAACAGCTAAAAGTACAACAATGCAGTGCCTGCAAATTTTTAGAAAAATATACAAACAGACGTGGGGCGGCGAGGGGGAGGGGGCGTGGCATTATCTCGTGTGGCAGGCACATTCGCAGGATGCCGATGCCGATGCCGCGCTTAAATGCCGCTTAACATATTTGATTTTCCTTCTTTTGCCAATTTTTCCAGCCGTATTTTTCCGTGTTGGCCGTGTTTGTTTTGGTTATGCGATTGTTGCTGCTGTCAAAAGCTGGCAAATAAATTTGCATTTCGACAAAGCGCGAGAATTCACACATGTTAACCCATTAATGCCCCATCTGAGCCACTAAAATGCTGCGACTTAAAATGGCCGAGGCGCTTTGGAAAACTGTAATGTCCTGCAAACTTTCGAAACACTTTTGGCTCTTCCCGAGTTTTCGATCAACTTGCAGTGGGTTAATTGAACGAAAGCGGCGCTCTTTAGAATTGGCGCCTTCATTTGAATGCCAAAACACGTTTTTAAATAAATCAGCGCATTAATTATTCTCGCTTGCATAAATCGCTTCGCTGTCGATGCTGCTGCCCCAGGAAACTGGCCGCCCCCTAACCAATTTTCCGATTTGGAGGCCCCCCGCTGCTGCCAACACCTCCGCACATTTTTATTAGCTACGCATAATTGCTGCGGCAATAAAGTTGTTTTCCCTCTGACCCCGCTGGCCGAAAAGGGACGAGGTCGAAGGACATGGTCATGGACGAGAATATGGATGTGGATGTGGGGGCGCCAGGAGGCACTGCGCGTGACCCGACAACATAACGACATTTAAGTGGCCACCGCAGCAGTAGCAGCAGCAGGAGCAGGAGCAGCAACATTGGCACAGTGGAATCGGTATCGGTATCAGTATCACCGGCATCGGGCGGAGTCCTTCTGCTCCAGGCCGTGGGCGTGGTCCCGGCCATGTTCGGCAACATGTTACAAAAAATTGATGCCATTGCTGTTTTTCCCAGCCATTGTTGCTGCAGCTGCACTCACTATTTATTGTTACAAGCTGGGGAAAAGGGAAAAGTGCTGGGAGTGAGAGAAATGGTTTAAAATATTTGCCTAACATGGCAGGCTTCACAAGGTCTTGCATCAGTTTTTTTCTATTCCTTTTAAGGAATAGAACTGCACTGACCGATTTTTGACAATTACTGAATTAGCTCAGCGGATGACAGCTTCAAAATCGCTTCAAAAAATAGTTGAACATGTTTATTACATAAAATGAGCTTTGGTATTTAGAGTGCAGTTTCTTATTGCCTATCATAAATGCGTAACTTAGAACCAAGATCGTTGCGCTGCAACTAATTCTTGGGGTCCGCCTTGTCCTCCTGCTCCCAGACGCCTAGGACATCGAGCAGATCATCGAAGGACGGAGGTTCCTCGGGAAACCCCAGGTTGTCCGGCACATCGACGCCCCTCATTCGCATGCAGATGGTCTCGACGGCCCGCCAGCTGTCCACGCTTGACGGAGGAGCTGCTGGGACTGGGATGTCCCGAATGGCGCTCTCGCACAGGTCGTTCTTCCAAGCGCTGTCCCAGTGCCTTTCCTTTCCTTTTCTTTCTTCCCAGCGAATGCAGGTGGAGCCCCACAAGGGATCCCTGTTGGAGCTCTCGTCGGTGCAGATGCTAAGCGGAAAGTTGTCGTCGTCGCCCAACAAGGAAAACAAGTCCCGAGTTGGGGAGTTCTTTTCCAGCGGCTGGGCAGTGCGCGGAGGCGTTAGCAGCTCGGGCATCAGTTCTTCAACCACCCGCCTATTGTCCAGGTCCTCGACGAAGCAGAAGTCCGCGTCATTGGTCGGCGGCGCATTCCATCCGGACTGTAGACTCGTCGCGTTCCGAGTTGGATTGTTGTTACTGGTCGACGGCTGGCTGTCCGGCGACAGAGAGGAGTCCCAAAGGGAACAGAACTTGGGCATCACAGTGGTCACGGCGATCTTATCACTCAGGTTCTGATGGTAAACGAAGTCCCACGAGCCCACTTTCCTCCGCTTAGGATCAGTCAACTGGCTCGTGGCCTTGGTCTTGGTACCTTGACTGGCTGGATGGGCAACCTCTCCTGACTTCTGATCTTCGGCACGCTTCTTCGCTGTCTCTCCTGCGAGTGTGTGGATCTTTTTCCCAGTTTCCCAGTCTCCCAGTTTTGAGTCAGGGTAATCGTCGTCGTCGCTTGAAATGACAATATAACTTGTAGAAGCAACAGTACTGGTCAGCTGAAAGCTACTACGATTCTCCCGGGCGGAAACGGCGACTTGAGAAGATTTCCGCCAGTCGTCACCCAACTCATCCATCTTCGACGGGAGTCTTGAGGCAGTGGCAGCCAGGTGGCGACTCCCTGTCGGTCCCTGGCGGTGATGCATGTTCTCCTTGTCGCTCGTTCTACGCAAAGTGCCATCTGAATTCTCCTTAGGAGAGAGTGGAGTCCCAGCTATCTCCGCCAAGTTCTTAGACGAGCTTTCCTTCATAATTCGGTCGAGGTTGGGCTTTCCATCCGGTTTTGTCTGCCCGTTCCCCGGCGAGGAAGAACTGGGGAACAGGGTCTCCACCGTCATCTGAGGTCCGGATGATGATAGCCCGGCTGCTCCTTCTGCTGCGCCGCTCCTGCCGGGCATCATGGGGTTTATTTCCACCAACTCGCTTCTGGGCAGGGACACCGAGCGCTGGTTTCGGTTCCAGAACTGCTTTGACTGCGAAGTAAGGCAATATGTTAGGTGTGATTATATGTGACGTATGCCAACTCTTGCCATTGCGTGCTTTGAAACCAACTCTTCGGATCGAAGAGTTCGGTAAGAAGAAATCCACGTGCGGATTGTCAATCACGAAGGGGTGAACGCGGGCTAAGATGGCGACCATCATGAGGCAGAGTTGCCACGATTCCATGGGAGAGGACTGTGTACCATAACTAATCGTATATAAGAGCCACACTGCTAAGGCTGCACTGTTCTTGGTAATGAAATAGGCACTAGCAGCGATATATTTTCAATTTGCGCTTCAAAGTAATTCAAAGTCATAAGGTACTGCCAACTTGCTGGGAAGTGCGCTTTTATCGGTGGGGCTGCCAAGTACCAGTTCCGATTAAAGTTTACGGCCAGTGCTGCAAAGTATGAAAGTTTTGAAAATAGATGTTCTGACTTACACCGAATTGCGTACACTATGGCTACTAACCCCGAATTCTAATCCCAAGTGGGTATATACCTCTGGACTCGACCCACTGCCACAGGTTGGAGGTGCTGCCTCAACATGTAGCCATTTCCCCCAAAGGAAATTCCCTCATAGCCATACATCGAGGTATTCAGGCAGTTGTCGTGCGGCTTTAGCCAACCAGATCCCGATCCCGATCCGACGTCACTTCCAGGGACTGCCAATGGCGTTGGCGCTATTGTTTCGGAGGGCGTGTAAAGCGCGGAGGGAAAACGTTATTTAATTACTCAAGCAAAAGCATGACAAGTGGAAATGTCGCCTGGGCGAGGAGCTCGCCTGGTTCCAGGATCCGGCATCCAGAGTCAGGCTCAGCAGGCCTGTCAGCTTGTCAGGAGCAGGCGCCATGGAAAGCCGCCGCCGACGCCGCCGCCATCGCCGCTGTCGTCGCATTGGTCACTCTGCCGCTCGCTTTTGTTTAAATTTAAATTCTATAAATAAATCTGCATGAGGGCAGCGGTGGGGCATATTGGCCACAAGCACGAGCAAGTGGGTTGCGACTGCAGTTGGCATCGCTTCTGGCCACTAAACAAAAGCAGGCACTGTGCCGTGCCCATTCGTAAACCATTTTGGATGCCCAAAAATGGCAGGACACTTATTTGTGGTGACTGTGGAGGGTCCTGGGAAAGTCCTGGGAGCCCAGATTCTGGTGTTCTGTTCAGGTCAGTTGAGTTGCTTTGGGCTAAAGCGATGGTCTCTAATTTTATTAGGTTTTCTCAGAAAAGAGATACATATAAATACACAAATGGCTGCACAAAGCCGTCATTCCTTCAGCTTTGTGAGCTAAGTTAAGATGAAAATGGGTGTAGTGGAATCGTATTTATGGATATTTCGATCGAATATCTTTAGAATTCCTGAGAAAGCCACAAACATAATGGACCCAATATGAAAGTGACAATACGGAATCGCTATAAGATTTGTTATAGAATGTATCAGATATTTGCAAAAAGTGAACCTTTGATTTCTCGACGTAGTAAAACGATTTTTGCAAAACGATATAAATTTACAAGATTAATTAATAGGAGCAAATATATCACATTTTTCAAAAATGCTACTTAAAAATCCAATTAAGATAGGTTGAGCTATGGACTTTAGAACTTCAGCCTTTGGACATTTTTTAATTTTTTTGAATTTCTACAACATCATCACACCAGAAAAATGACAAAAAAATGTTGAAAAAATAAATTTCCAAATTTGAATGCAGATTTTTAGAGAATTGCTCCAGAAACATTTAGAGGTATGCCACTTCAAATTCCGATTAGGATAAGTTGAGTTATGGACTTTTGAACTTCAGTTTTGGGTCATTTTTGAATTTCTATAACATCACACACCAGAAAAATGACAAAAAAATGTTGAAAAAATAAATTTCCAAATTTGAATGCAGATTTTTAGAGAATTGCTCCAGAAACATTTAGAGGTATGCCACTTCAAATTCCGATTAGGATAAGTTGAGTTATGGACTTTTGAACTTCAGTTTTGGGTCATTTTTGAATTTCTATAACATCACACACCAGAAAAATGACAAAAAAATGTTGAAAAAATAAATTTCCAAATTTGAATGCAGATTTTTAGAGAATTGCTCCAGAAACATTTAGAGGTATGCCACTTCAAATTCCGATTAAGATAAGTTGAGTTATGGACTTTTGAACTTCAGTCTTGGGTCATTTTTGAATTTCTATAACATCACACACCAGAAAATTGACAAAAAAATGTTGAAAAAATAAATTTCCAAATTTGAATGCAGATTTTTAGAGAATTGCTCCAGAAACATTTAGAGGTATGCCACTTCAAATTCCGATTAAGATAAGTTGAGTTATGGACTTTTGAACTTCGTTCTTGGGTCATATTTGAATTTCTATAACATCACACACCAGAAAAATGACAAAAAAATGTTGAAAAAATAAATTTCCAAATTTGAATGCAGATTTTTAGAGAATTGCTCCAGAAACATTTAGAGGTATGCCACTTCAAATTCCGATTAAGATAAGTTGAGTTATGGACTTTTGAACTTCAGTCTTGGGTCATTTTTGAATTTCTATAACATCACACACCAGAAAATTGACAAAAAAATGTTGAAAAAATAAATTTCCAAATTTGAATGCAGATTTTTAGAGAATTGCTCCAGAAACATTTAGAGGTATGCCACTTCAAATTCCGATTAGGATAAGATGAGTTATGGACTTTTGAACTTCAGTCTTGGGTCATTTTTGAATTTCTATAACATCACACACCAGAAAAATGTCAAAAAAATGTTGAAAAAATAAATTTCCAAATTTGAATGAAGATTTTTAGAGAATTTCTCCAGAAACATTTAGAGGTATGCCACTTCAAATTCCGATTAGGATAAGTTGAGTTATGGACTTTTGAACTTCAGTCTTGGGTCATTTTTGAATTTCTATAACATCACACACCAGAAAAATGACAAAAAAATGTTGAAAAAATAAATTTCCAAATTTGAATGCAGATTTTTAGAGAATTGCTCCAGAAACATTTAGAGGTATGCCACTTCAAATTCCGATTAAGATAAGTTGAGTTATGGACTTTTGAACTTCAGTCTTGGGTCATTTTTGAATTTCTATAACATCACACACCAGAAAAATGACAAAAAAATGTTGAAAAAATAAATTTCCAAATTTGAATGCAGATTTTTAGAGAATTGCTCCAGAAACATTTAGAGGTATGCCACTTCAAATTCCGATTAGGATAAGTTGAGTTATGGACTTTTGAACTTCAGTCTTGGGTCATTTTTGAATTTCTATAACATCACACACCAGAAAAATGACAAAAAAATGTTGAAAAAATAAATTTCCAAATTTGAATGAAGATTTTTAGAGGATTGCTCCAGAAACATTTAGAGGTATGCCACTTCAAATTCCGATTAGGATAAGTTGAGTTATGGACTTTTGAACTTCAGTCTTGGGTCATTTTTGAATTTCTATAACATCACACACCAGAAAAATGACAAAAAAATGTTGAAAAAATAAATTTCCAAATTTGAATGCAGATTTTTAGAGAATTGCTCCAGAAACATTTAGAGGTATGCCACTTCAAATTCCGATTAGGATAAGTTGAGTTATGGACTTTTGAACTTCAGTCTTGGGTTAATTTTTGAATTTCTATAACATCACACACCAGAAAAATGACAAAAAAATGTTGAAAAAATAAATTTCCAAATTTGAATGCAGATTTTTAGAGAATTGCTCCAGAAACATTTAGAGGTATGCCACTTCAAATTCCGATTAAGATAAGTTGAGTTATGGACTTTTGAACTTCAGTCTTGGGTCATTTTTGAATTTCTATAACATCACACACCAGAAAAATGACAAAAAAATGTTGAAAAAATAAATTTCCAAATTTGAATGCAGATTTTTAGAGAATTGCTCCAGAAACATTTAGAGGTATGCCACTTCAAATTCCGATTAAGATAAGTTGAGTTATGGACTTTTGAACTTCAGTCTTGGGTCATATTTGAATTTCTATAACATCACACACCAGAAAAATGACAAAAAAATGTTGAAAAAATAAATTTCCAAATTTGAATGCAGATTTTAAGAGAATTGCTCCAGAAACATTTAGAGGTATGCCACTTCAAATTCCGATTAGGATAAGTTGAGTTATGGACTTTTGAACTTCAGTCTTGGGTTAATTTTTGAATTTCTATAACATCACACACCAGAAAAATGACAAAAAAATGTTGAAAAAATAAATTTCCAAATTTGAATGCAGATTTTAAGAGAATTGCTCCAGAAACATTTAGAGGTATGCCACTTCAAATTCCGATTAGGATAAGTTGAGTTATGGACTTTTGAACTTCAGTCTTGGGTTAATTTTTGAATTTCTATAACATCACACACCAGAAAAATGACAAAAAAATGTTGAAAAAATAAATTTCCAAATTTGAATGCAGATTTTTAGAGAATTGCTCCAGAAACATTTAGAGGTATGCCACTTCAAATTCCGATTAAGATAAGTTGAGTTATGGACTTTTGAACTTCAGTCTTGGGTCATTTTTGAATTTCTATAACATCACACACCAGAAAAATGACAAAAAAATGTTGAAAAAATAAATTTCCAAATTTGAATGCAGATTTTTAGAGAATTGCTCCAGAAACATTTAGAGGTATGCCACTTCAAATTCCGATTAGGATAAGTTGAGTTATGGACTTTTGAACTTCAGTCTTGGGTCATTTTTGAATTTCTATAACATCACACACCAGAAAAATGACAAAAAAATGTTGAAAAAATAAATTTCCAAATTTGAATGCAGATTTTAAGAGAATTGCTCCAGAAACATTTAGAGGTATGCCACTTCAAATTCCGATTAAGATAAGTTGAGTTATGGACTTTTGAACTTCAGTCTTGGGTCATTTTTGAATTTCTATAACATCACACACCAGAAAAATGACAAAAAAATGTTGAAAAAATAAATTTCCAAATTTGAATGAAGATTTTTAGAGGATTGCTCCAGAAACATTTAGAGGTATGCCACTTCAAATTCCGATTAGGATAAGTTGAGTTATGGACTTTTGAACTTCAGTCTTGGGTCATTTTTGAATTTCTATAACATCACACACCAGAAAAATGACAAAAAAATTTTGAAAAAATAAATTTCCAAATTTGAATGCAGATTTTTAGAGAATTGCTCCAGAAACATTTAGAGGTATGCCACTTCAAATTCCGATTAGGATAAGTTGAGTTATGGACTTTTGAACTTCAGTCTTGGGTTAATTTTTGAATTTCTATAACATCACACACCAGAAAAATGACAAAAAAATGTTGAAAAAATAAATTTCCAAATTTGAATGCAGATTTTTAGAGAATTGCTCCAGAAACATTTAGAGGTATGCCACTTCAAATTCCGATTAAGATAAGTTGAGTTATGGACTTTTGAACTTCAGTCTTGGGTCATTTTTGAATTTCTATAACATCACACACCAGAAAAATGACAAAAAAATGTTGAAAAAATAAATTTCCAAATTTGAATGCAGATTTTTAGAGAATTGCTCCAGAAACATTTAGAGGTATGCCACTTCAAATTCCGATTAAGATAAGTTGAGTTATGGACTTTTGAACTTCAGTCTTGGGTCATATTTGAATTTCTATAACATCACACACCAGAAAAATGACAAAAAAATGTTGAAAAAATAAATTTCCAAATTTGAATGCAGATTTTAAGAGAATTGCTCCAGAAACATTTAGAGGTATGCCACTTCAAATTCCGATTAGGATAAGTTGAGTTATGGACTTTTGAACTTCAGTCTTGGGTTAATTTTTGAATTTCTATAACATCACACACCAGAAAAATGACAAAAAAATGTTGAAAAAATAAATTTCCAAATTTGAATGCA